GAGGACGTGGCACGGGGTGCCCAGAGAAGCTGGGCCTGCCCCATCCCTGGCAGTGTTCAAGGTCCCTTCCAACCCAAACCACTCTGTGATTCTTTCTTCTGCAAGCGGATGGAGCAGGGGATGAGGCCCTCAGTGCCAGGGGTTAGTGGTGACCTTGGCAGTGCTGGGGTAAAGGTTGGACTGGATGAGCTTAAAAGTCTTTGCAGCCTCGTTGGTTCTTTGATTCTATGACATCCAAGCTCTGCCCACACCCTGGCTGGAGCAGGATGCACGCAAAAACCTGGTCAAGGGGGACACCTAGTGACCTCCCTGAGGCTGGGGGCTGCAGCCAGGCTGGGGCAGGGGACATGGGCTGCTGGGCTCTCATAGAACCAGCATCACAAAGGTGTCAGAAAGGGTTTGCCCGAGCCCCCACCATCCTTCCACCCCTGTGGCCAAGGATGAAATGAGACTATGGATTCATCCCGTCCACAGCACAGAGACATCCCCCAGAAACCCTTCCTCTGCCAGCACTGGAGGGGTGAAATTACCCTTGCTAATGGACCATAAGATTGAAATTAGCATAATTCAAAGTGACTAACACGGGAAAAAAACCCTGCATTGCAACTCAAAAGTGTATTAAATTTAAAGAGAGTCCCTGGTTGAAGTCACTTTCCTTTAGGGGAAACAATCTCTTTGTTTTTCAACTCCATCATGTATTAGATTTGCAAATAGAATCTAGGGAAAAAAATGCACATAACAATAGACCAAACACTGGATTTTGGGAGCGTGACCTGGGAAGGACATGAGGGGGAGTAGAGACCTTCATCTGAGGCCCAAGGGGCTGAGCAAGGACCTCAGCTGGCCCCTCTCTGATGGAAATCCACCACGTTCCGGGGGCCAGGGGAGGCATAAGACCAATACTTTCCTGCCAAAGTAACCATTTCCCACAAAATAACGGATTCCCAATGTGTTTGAACTGAGTAATACTGAGTTGATTCCTTCCAGGAATGTTGAATCATTCCGTCTGGATTCAATGCGTCACTTCGAGAGGGAAAAGCCATGCATTAAAGCTGTTCTGTTGATCAACTGGGATGTTCACCTTGTATTGGCAATTCACTGCAGCATTAGAGACAGGCAGATGTTTTTCCCAGTGGCATGGCTGTGGATGCATCCCTGGAGAATTCTAAGTCCATCTAAATGCAAACCCAAGACGTGTCACAAATAAAAGCGAAACACAGAGGCTCCTTCCAAATAAAACAGCAAATCTCCTTCCAAGCCATTCCAAAGAAATCAAAGCCCAGTTTGATACATTCCTTGGGATTTTGTTGTCCTTATTGTTATCAACATACTCCCAGGAGATACTACAATTGTTTAAACACCTCTTTCTCACACACATCTTAGAATCAAGGAATGGTTTGTGTTGGAAAGGACCTGAAAGTTCATCCAGCTCCAACCCCTGCCACGGGCAGGGAC